TTTTTTTTTTTTTTAGTCGAGCAAAAGATGTGATAATACCAGCAAAGCCACCTGTCAACTTTTTCTCCTCGAGGTCTCCAGTCCTTGACTTCTTCCAGGGGCAGCTGGACTACGCAGAGCGTGTGCGCCGGGACTCGGAGGTGGTGCTGCTGTTCTTCTACGCCCCGTGGTGTGGACAGTCCATCGCCGCCAGGGCAGAAATCGAGCAGGCGGCGAGTCAGCTCTCTGACCAGGTGACGCTGTCTTTCAGCCTAGGGATAAGCGGCCTCGGCCCTGGTCACCCACCGTTGAGATAAGCCGCACCGTCCTGGCTGGCATTGTGGTGAAGGCTGAGCTCTTTGTGGATTGTTTCGCCTTTGATGAAGACACAGGGCTTCCTGTGGTGGTGTCACAGCTGGCAGGAGGCAGCAGGTTCTGCATTTGCTGGGCACTGTTTGGTTTCAGAACAGCAGGAGGTGGGGGCTGAACATTCTAGTGCTCGAACATTCTAGCTGCGCCCAGCTATAAGGTGGCTTTTCATGTATCATCTTCTTGTTTGTTGAGTTTTATCATAAAAAGGTGAAAGAATTCTATAGGTACCTGCTACTTGAATTCTACCGTGAACGTGCTATTACAGCATTTCGCCCGGTGCTTAGCGCTTCACTGTCCGCAGGTCAGCGACACAGCCTGTTTGTGTGTCTGGTTCACCTCCAGGGATGCTGCACCCCGTGCATGGGGCCCCCCAGACAAACATAACAGCAGCCCCCACCAAGCCCAAATGTCAGCAGTGCCCAAATTGAAATTACTCTGCCCTGTCCCTCTGCTAATGTATTTTACTTGTGACACATTTCTAAATAAATTGCAGACATAGATGCTTTCCCTTAAATATTTCAGCAGCCACCCATAAAGATATACTTACGCTATATTTTTCTGTTCTGTACTACCTGTTAGAGTATAGCTTTATTTCATTTGTTTTAAAGATTCAATGTATTTATGCATACCAGAGCTGGGGTGCAGGCCAGAGGTGCAGGGGATGAGAGGACCCACCAGAGACAGTGGGAAGCAGAACAGGAGGGTCTGCTGAGATACACTGCTGAGGGGAGCAGCGGGGAGACAGGAGAGGTCTGCTGCGCCCTGCGGGTCAGCTCCGGGGCGGGGATCGGCTGCGCTGGAGCGGCCGCCGCTGGGCCTAGCTGTGCAGCGCTCCAACCTGCCGCGCCACTAGGGAGGGCCGTGACTACAGTTTGTTAAAATAAAACCATTGTTTTTGCTTTTAAAATAAGTTATTAAGAGCTGCCCTTTGAAATTTGTGATGTTCTATTAGCTTTTTCTTTCTCAGTTGTTGAATTTGACTGTGAGAAGGCGTGTCCTTCTTCTGTTATAGTGCCATCGCGCTTAGCGAAACCTCACTGGAGCTCACATCAGAATTCACAACAAATCATTTTCTTTTACAAAGACCACAAATATTCAGAGTTCTCACTAGCCTAACTTCCTTTTTACTGATGATCCTTTTGAACATTTGAGACCATTTTTTTCATACTTTCGGTAGAGGAATAGTTCTGTTTCTATATTTTCATCTTTTAAATCTTGGTCATCTTTCAGTTGTTATTCATAGTTATTGAAAATCTCTCTTGTCCTGCAGGTGTTGTTTGTGGCTGTGAACTGTTGGTGGAACCAGGGCAAATGCAGGAAACAGAAACACTTCTTCTATTTTCCTGTTATCTATCTGTATCATCGGAGGTAAGCACTTTTAGATGGTGTCTCTAATTCCAATTTAATATATCAATTTAAAAGTGAATTGTTTTCTGTTTACAGTATTAGATATTCACTGAGATTATATAGATAAGCTCAAATAAATAAATCTGGGTAATTTTATCATCCATACAATCACTGTGTTTGAGTTTATAGCCTCTTGTGTCTGTATGTATTCAGACATACCTTTATTTTAAATAAAAGAAAATGGAATCATGCAGTAATCACATGTCCTAAATTGCTCTTTCTTACTTTTGTGAACATCTTGTCATGTCATCACATGTTACAACATTGGATTTAATAGCTCCAGTCACTCCACGTGCAGCTGTACAGCTCAGACATGCTAGAAGTGTCCGTGGTATAACAGTACCCTACCTCTTACCCCGCTCTGTGGCAGCACGGTGTGGTCAGGAGGGCCTCTCCCCCTCCTCTCAACTGGGGAGAAGTCATCACGAGTCTGCAGTCTCCTGCCCATGTCACCCACAATTCGAATATCCAGGGAGCTCTGAAACCTCAAGGACTCTTGTCCATTGATCTGGCCCAAAGTAGCAGAGGGTGCCTGTCGTCTTTATCCCTCCTCAGTACTGTTTTGTTCATGTTGCTGCGGACAGACATGCTATTTCACTGTTCAGACCCTGCTGTGGGTGCTCAGTAAACGTCTGAAACCTGACTGGGGGGCTTTTGGAGACAGGAGATTGGATTTCATACTAAATCTGCATGATAGGCGTGAAGTTAGTGAAGGTAGTATGGGCAGAGATGATTGGATTAATCAGAGCTTTCCATTTTGGGTTTTATTTTTTTCTCTTGCTCTGAACTTCTGGGCCTTCATCAGTGGGGTTTATTACAACATCAACAAAATTTCTTTTGTGTATTATCTGTCCTTTTCCATCACACTTCCATGTCCCTCACGTAAAATGTTGTGGCACACTTAGTATTGATTCTCAGGAGGTATGAAATTTGGGCACGACCACACTTTCCCACACCATTTCCACCCTCAAATTTTCCTCTAGGTTTTATATATTTGTCATTTAAATATTTGTAGTAACAAGCCAATTTTTGCTTGGGATCCATTAGGAGTATTTTTGCATCTCACTCCCCCACCCCCTTTATCAGTAATTTGGGGGTCCTACTGCTTCCACTTTGAAGGCTGAAGTGCAGTTTTTTAGTATTTAGAGAACAGTACCTTATCATGGTTACTTTTTTTGAGTGTAAAGTGCGTAGCTTGAAGGTCTGACATGTCTCAAATGCTTCTGCTTGGTCATGAGGGGAAGCGCTTGCTCCACTGTGCTAAGGTTCCTGCATTTCTTCTGGAGGAGGAAATAGGGTGCAGAATGCCTAGCGGGGTCTCCTGATCTTGCGGTTTTCTGAACCAAGCCAGTGACCCAGAGGTGGGCTTAGCTTGATGTGACATCAGAATCTTCCCTGAACTGAGTACAAAAGGTGTTGGATTCTTGTTTTCTAGGAAGATTGAAAGGAACTAAAGGAATATCTTGTCCAACCTTTATTCTACCGATGAGGAATTTGAGGTTGGGGCTTGCCTTGAGGTGCATGCCGCTTATGTTAAAGCTTTAATTGAGTCATTTCAGGCCCATTAGTATTCCAACATCTGCTGTCAGTGTGCTGGAAGCAGGAGCAGCCCAAGGAGGCCTTTCCATATGCCTCTTCAAGCTCTCTGTCACACACACACTCTCTCTCTCACGTGGCTTCCGTGGCACTCTCTCAGTGTACCACTCTCACACATGTGGCCCTAAGCCAGCGTGGGGGAAGCACCGCGGGGCGCTGCTGCGCGGTCGTGGCTCACCTAGTGGTGGCCGCTCCGAGGGGTGGCTTCTGAGGTGTGCAAGTGGATTCCACTTTTCGGCTGGTATGGATGATGCCTGTCCCGAGGAAGGTTACAGAAGGCCCAAAGCAGGGAGTCTTTCCTCAGAACACTGCACAGAGCCCGGCCTCCCCGCGGTGTGTGACCGCCAGGTGTGGGTGGGCATGGCCACGTCCCGCAGCTCTTACTGTCATGGGCTCTCGGGAGGGCTCAGCAGAGAGTGTTTCCTTCGTTAGCTGAGGTTTCCAAATTGGATGGCTCCTTTTCTGAACAGATGCTTTTCTGGGTTCTTCATCTAAATGAAAAGTCATCGGTGGTGGGTGGGGTTGGTGATGATAATTTTTAAACACGAGTTTAGTTAACAAATTAGCTGTAGTAAGTTCTGAATTAATAGAATCTTGAAACTCTCCCAGCTGTACATGTGGGAGGCTATTTTTATTTTTTCCATGCTAATAGTCCTCTGTCTGGCATCATATTCTGCAGTGCACACTGAAGAGTTGTGTTTATCTCATCACATTATGTGTGTTAATTTCTGTAGCCATCTAGTACAGTACTGTGATCACAGCAGTCACAGAATACTTGACTGCGCTCCGGCTAATGCTGCTGTTCACAGTGCGCTTCATGTCAGCCCCGCGCAGGGGCAGAGGGCGGGGAGTGGCTGAGTCCCGTCTCCTCCTCAGCCCCTGCCACGTGCCACAGTGGCAGTAGAGCGGTGCGTACTTGCAGGGCGCAGAAATCCAGGGGCTCCGCTGAATGTTGGTGCTAGCACTTAGCAGGGCCAAGGCGAATTCCTGTGCACCCTGAGCCCAGCTGAGGCTCCGGGGGGTGGGAAGGAGTTAGAGAAGACGGTTTGTGCAGGCCCTGACTTCCTAGCTACACAGGATTTTGTTGTTGAACTAAAGCTTTCAGTGGGTGTGAAGTTCATCTAGTGACCCTTTCCGTCCCACTTGTTACTTCAGAAAGAAAACCTGCCCATTGCATCTGGTTAAGACCCTGGACTCCTTTGCCACCTCCAGGGTTGCCTTCATGTTTTGCTTTTTAAAGAAATGTGATTGTGGGAATTACAGCCCCCACCCCCCACCCCAGAACGAATGAATGTTGTTTTGAAATTTAGTTTGCGGTTGTATTAAGCTCGAGAAGACTAGTGGCAGTGCCTGCCTCCCTCACGTGAGACGCTGATCCTGACTGGCTCCCAGCCCCTCCTGAGACCAGGAGGGGCTACTTACCTGTGAGCCAGTGGGCGTCCTAACGCAAGACATTTTCATTTTGTGGTGTTGATGATTTCAGTTACACATTACAGGTTTAATGCATGGTGTTTTATTTTTATTTTTTATGTTTATTTCTTTGGTACTAGTTTTGGACCAATCGAATACAAAGGCCCCATGAGTGCTGTTTACATTGAGAAGTTTGTCCGCCGAGTGATGACACCGCTTCTCTACATCCCATCTCAATCAGAATTGCTAGATTTTCTCTCAGACTACGAGGTACCTGTCTTTCATATCCCCTCCTCCCCAGGCTTCATCGGGTTGGATTAGATTGTACTGGGGGGTTTTGTACCTCGTGATGTGCAGCTCATGTGGATGAGCCCCGATTAAGTGTTTTTGGAAAAATTCGATTGTTGGAATTATTTGATGAAGCCAGGTTTAAGGGCGTAGAATATGTGCAAAAGCTTGTGTAAGTTTTGAGACTTTTTCACCAGTTTTTCAGTTTGTCTCACAGTTACCTTAGAACCTGTAAAAATTAAATTTGTCTGTTGCTGCACATTTTTAGAAGTTTTATTTGATGCTTCCGTGTACTTAACTGCGAGCTTCCTAGCTGTTGTTGGTTGTAGCTTAGCTTAAAAAGAAAAACATGTTCCTTTTCATTTTACTCAAGTTCTAATTATTCTGAGTTCTTAGTAACAAGAGGCCTAACGTGGCTTCATTGCCAGCTTCAACCTGGAATCATTCTCGGTGCTTCAGTGCATGTTCAGCATAGCTTATTATGGGGAGAGGCAAGCAGAGAGCCTAAAAGGACTCAGTAAATCGTGGTCAGATGTTCGCACGTAAACATGAATTGGAGCGAGTGTGAGGCGCCACCTGGGCAGCACGCACATGGCGACTTAGGCTCAGAAAGGCGAAGAGCACTGGGCCGGTGGAGGAAAAGCCGCTCGAGTGCAGGCCATGCCTGAGCCTCTGCTCCTCGGTTGTACTCTGTGTTTGGCGTTGATCGCACACGTATTTCTTTCACCAGCGTAGCATTTACGCTTTTTTGGGTCACGTTAGAAATGCTGTATATATGTTAACTCTGAGCAGATTCCCAGCAGCACTGTGAGAATCCGGTTTCTTTGCTGTAGCTCGTAGGTGTGCGGGACAGCAGAGTTAAGACTGACTTCCATGTTGTGGGCTTGTCTCCTGGCAGCCGGTGGGCAGGGGCCCGTGGCTGTGCTGACTGGCTCTGTGACTGGGGTGGGTCACTCACCTGCCAGCGGGCAGGGCCTGGGCTCCACGATGTTCCCGAGCCTCCTTTGAACTGGTGGGCGCACGCTGGGTGATGAGCGGATTTGCCTTAGCTGACAGGCAGGCGGGGTGCTGGGTGGAGAAAAGCGGGCGTCATGGGCCTGAGTCTGAGATCAGCTTCAGCCTGGGGGATAGTTTCTTCACCTCAGCTGTAAACTGGATTAAACGACGTAAGGCACGGCAGTGCGCAGGCTCCAGTAAATGGAAACAGGGTACAGGGCCCCCAATAAGTGGAAGCGTCCTGATATTGAGCACTATTGAGAAAACTTAAATTGTGGGAGACACCAGATCCCTGCTTCTATTTAAAAAACCCTTTGTCTTGTAATTAAGGTATTAAGATGAGGCCTGCGTGGTCCCGGCTTCTTGCTAGGACTTCTCTGGAGTCGTTGGACCCAGTTTGGGTTTATAACTTGTTTTTTTTCTTTATGCCGTCTCTTAAGAAGTAAAGAGAAATGAGAGTGGGACTGGAACATCAGCAGATACCACACAGCATGTATTTCCTCCTCTAAAAAAAAGTAGGGAACAACTTGAGCGCTGTAGCGTAGTGACCACGAACTCACTGCAGGGCCGTGGCGACGCCATTGTCAGAGATTTGTGTCAGCAAGTTCTGAGCCAAATCTGCCTCAGTTCATAGCAGAGGTCATGTGCTCAGAAGAACTCAGCTGGGATTCTAGAAGCCTGGGTGTTAGCCCTGATATGAATGAGACTGATTTCTGAGTGTCTGGCTGGTTTCCTGCTGGCTCAGATGATCTCTCCAGATTGTTTTGCCTTTGGGGAAGTTTAGAGGTTGGAGGGAGGCAGAGAGAAGGAGGCGCATCAGGTTTTTGGGTTGGCAAACTGTCTTTAGAGACAGTTTTAATTCTCTTATTTATGGCCTCTGAGCTGAGGGCAGTTTTCGCTGGAGGCAGGGGTGAGGAGCCGAGGCCGTGACCTGCCTTTCAAGACCTTTCCACTCCCTGGGTCGGCTGAGGAGGTGCCAGAGGCTCTGCTCCCAGCACTGACGCTGACTCGGCCTCACCGCAGTGCCGCTGCGCCCTGGTGCTGGTCTCCTCCTTGGAATGATGTGGACCGTGATTACCCAGCCCTTAAAAGGGGCTCGCCTGTGCCACCCAGATGGGCCCCTATGTGGGCATCTGTCTGTCTTTAAAATTGGCTTCCTCCCCAAAGCTGTAGAGGCTTTCACTGGGTTAGTGTTGGTGCTTTCTGGGCTTGCCATCATCATGAGATGTGCTGGTTGGCAAGAGAGGGTATTTGACTAATGGTGAAAGAACTCAGGAGACATCTGAGAAGATGCTGGTCTTGTGAAACCTACCACTGCTGCCTGGGGGAAGTGCTGTCAATTTCAGAAGCTGTAAGCTTGTGTCAAGACCATTCCAGATCCAGAGGGGCCTGTGTGCTTGGCAGGGGAGTAGATAGGAAAGTTAAAGGAAGGTTTGGAGCCCTCTTTGCAACACAGTTGATTCTTAAACTTTCCTTTAAATTGAGGTTTCTCAGCCTAAGTGTTTTCCCACTTGGCTCAGGTAATTCTGAGTTGGGCTCTCCTGGCCTCTGCCCACCACATGCTTCCTCTTGTTGGTGATAGTAGCAGACATGCCAGGTGTTCCTTGAGGAGATGTAGAATCCCCCTACCTGCACACCACTGCTCTCTGAGTGATGCTGTTCTCCCGTTGCAGCCTAAGATGGCCTGTCTCCAGCGAAGTGCCAATGTGGCCTTTCGTGTCGTGCACAGAATGCCAGATTCCAACTGTGGCGAGTTTCTATCTGCTTATGGCAGTGGGGAGGAGACGGAAGTTAAGCAGTCACTGCCTGGAGAGCTCCGAGGTGCTGTCTGTGGGACATTTAAAGAGCCAGGAGTGAGCGTACATGTACTCCGCTGGGTTACGGAGCTTGCTGATTTAAGGAGATCTTGTTAGGAAAGATTCTTGTGGTGACTGAGAACCTTATTTCCTAATTCATATTTTTGTAAGCATGAATTGCAATAGCAAGTGTGTTTAATTGAGTTATAATTAGTCTGAGACAATTATTTAATGGTTGTGCAGGCCAGCGCTCTAACCACAGAGCTATGGCACCCACTTTCATGTTTTTGTGGCACCGCTAAGGTTTATTAAAATGACATCATTTTTACTATGTCTCTAGATGTATTTGTGACATCTCCTAGGAGCGCATTTGATAATTTCCCCTTATTAGTAGTTATTGATTAATTGTATTTGTCCCTAGCCAGATATGTGAGGATGATATGGATCAACATAAAATTGTGCAGAGTGTAGAGCTCGGGAAATGGTAGTATCTTGAAACTAGCAATTTCCTATTTTGACACAAAGATTTATTATCTGAACTCTTCCTATAAACTTATATTCTGTTATAAGAAGAAATCCTCTACATATATTATGGTTTGAATTTTTACAAGTCCTATGGAAGAATCCTTTCAAAAACCTATTTCAGGTGATTTGGTAGTGAATTGCCTAGTTTATAACCAGTGGGAAACATTTTACCTCACTCAGGTATCTCAAACCTTCCCAAATCAGATTGCTAATCACTAACCGTAGTTTTGTAGTTTTATGTTTATAAAATATGACTGAGCTAAGATGCAATTTTTAGGAAAACTAATTGCCTTTAACTCCCTTGACTATCACAGAAGGATAGTGAAAGGGTGAGTGTTATAAATAGTTGTCTGTAAATTCCAAAATGTTGGTCATTATTAGCAAACAGTGAGGCAACTACCTTGATAAGAGCCTTCCAGTTTTCAAGTGCCTTTGGCTCTTCCCATAGCTGTGTAACACAGAGGGCAAGTGTGAGTCCTTGGAGCACCTTTGGAAAGGGTCTCCTGGTCCGGCTTCTTGCTCGCATAAGGGCCACTAGATCTCTGAATTGAAACTTTGAATATTTGATGTTTATGTTGTTTTTGAGCATTTTTCTTTTGTGATAGAACATTTTTAAAGATGTTGGCTTCTTCATTTTACTGGCGCTCCCTTCCTTGTTACGATTGGCTCTAAGGAGGAGCAGTGATGAAGGGTGGGGGGGGCTCTAAGGGGCAGTGATAAAGGGCGTGGGGTGGGGGGGGCTGTGGCTGTTGACACAGTCAAAGCACCAGGGCTTTACTGATTCCCATTATTATGAGCTCATTATTAGCACTTATTCTGCAGAACTGGAGCTCTTCTGCATATGGTAATCGCATCATTGGGGCAGGGACTAGCATTTCTTCCCAGAGCACTAATTTCATCCCTGCCTTAGGAATCATGAAGGCAGGTAAAACGGAAGTGAACTGCAGCAGGTAATGCAGAGGGAGAGCAAGTACTTCAAGTCGTCTTGTAAACGGTCAGGAAATTCTACATTCTTCATTTACTCCAATTCTAGAGCCCTCTTCCTTGAGGACGCTTCAACCTACTTAAGATACAGAAACAAAATGTGGCCTGTTACTGTGGACGAATGCAACCCAGAGTTAATTTTGCCATGGCGGGCATTAAGTTGATTCAGAGGGGAAAGGACTGAGGAACGGTTATGTTCCTTGCACATCACTAGTTTTATGACGATTCTCACTTTGGTGTTTTTTAGGCATCGTTAGTCTCGGGAATCAGCTGCATCTTTATCAGTCATGCATTTTATTCCCTAAAGTGCTTGATAGAATCATCTGATTTGTAGCTTTCATCTACCCACCACATGCCAACTGTATTACTTATAACTTGCATCTGGTGGGGTCACAGTGTTTTCGTAATCTTTCCATGAATTTCTCTGACTTACCTGATGGAGAGCAGTGATTTAGCATGCATCCATTCATTTATTCTTAGCAGTTTTGGTAAACCACATTGTTTAAAACTTTAGTGGAGAGGGGAAAGGCTTGGGAATCTTTTGAAGGGGGGGACATTCTGGGAAGTTGCCAGGTGATAGGAAATCTGAGGCTTTTAGAGAAAAACCTAGTGGAATGCCTGGTACCTGCTGTTATGTTGTTTGTTAGTAAAAGTCCACTGTGAGCAAGGAGGTAAATGTTGTTTCAGTCAGTGCATAGTTTCACAGCACTGTTAGTTAAATAGTTTAAAATTTTCTTAGGTGTTTTTTAACATTAGTGCAGAGATGCTTCATTGCCATGAGCACACAGCCGCCTGGGACATGTGCGCCCTCTGCTGACTCTTGTGCTGCACTGCAGTGCTCCCCTCGATGCTGTTGTCCTTAAACGTAGCTGCTGGCGAGCAGACACTGCAACTGGGAAATGCCTGTAAATTTCTTTCACCGAAAGCATAACCAGAGCTAATTTAGTGGCTTTTTTTTAATAGTTTATTTTTACATCATTTTGTAATTTTTTTTCCCATCCCAATTGTAATCCCCGCGGGTTTCCCGTCACCAACTAACTTAGTGGCTTTTAAGTGCTGCTTTGTAGTAGAGATAAATGGATAGCTGTCATTTCACTTTACTTTCTTCTTTTATTATTTTGAAGTGTTCATTTTAAGTTACATTCTGAAACATCAGTTTCCAAAATTTCATAGACTGTCACAGCATTTTGAATATTGGAAAAATAACTTGTAGGTAGATTGGCCTGCTTCGTGTGTCTCAGTAGCTAGTATTTACAACCTCAAGTCTGTTGAATCTTAAGATCTTGATTTCTTTGGCAACGAATGCGCAACGAATGCTGCTGGGAGTCATCTGCGTGGCCTTTTCTGCTTGCGGGCCTCCTCTGGCCAGCCTGCTTGAAAACCTTACTGTCAGGTCTTCTGAACATTGCAGCTCCTTGGTCCACACTGTGTAGCCCCTTGGGGAAAATGCAGCAGCTGAGCGCCTCGGAGAGAGCCCTGCAGACACGCCTGCCTGGACTCACTTCTAAAGGTGTAGGCTGGACTTCCCTGGAAGCCTCAGTGCACGCGTTTGAACTCCCACTCACGTGGTGTGTGCACGAGCACGTGCAGTTGCCTACCTGCGTGGAGTTGCAGCGGAGTCGGGGACACGTGTGCTTGGGTGAAGCTGCCTGAGGTGGCCTCATGCTACGGGGGAGAAACCCAATTCCAGCCGCGGTCATTTGCTGCTGCTTAGCGTGAATTTACTCCATCTGGTTTAGGGTTAGGAGATTGGCAGAACTTAAAGAAACTTAAATGAGTCTGTTTCCTTTCCATTAGTTTCCATTTTGATTTTTTCTGTCAGTACTAGCTTTGCGAGTGCAATTTTTGAAGGTTTTATCTTTGTTCTTGAAGGAAGACTTAAGTGTGCTGTAAAACCTAAGAACCTAACCCTTCCTGATGGTGCGATGTCCGTCCACTCTAGCTTGGTTCAGGAAACACGTTTGAAGCATGTTCAGGGGAAGAAAACCCTGTCATGAGTGGCTATGCTTCCGGATGCCCTCAGTTTGAGAATTTTCCTATTTTTTAGATGTTAGGGTTAAATGTTGCTTTCAGTTACTACCAAATGAAAACCATGGATTTCTTTAAGATTGCGTGAATCTTAATGAGAATAGGCAGGTGATTTAGATGTGAAAAACCAGTAAGTGAGCTCTGTTGCCGATTAGAAATTTACTCTTAGCAACATGGATTTTAAACTTAATAGCAGATGAAGTTCCCAGCTTACCTTTTGAATCAAGTAACTGTGACCCAATAACCATATTAAGAGTGTGATACTGGGCCCTCCCTGGTGGCACAATGGGTTGAAGCGCAGAGCCGTGAAGCTGTCCACAGCCACTGCTGCACGAGGTCGATCCCCAGCCAGGGAGCTGACCACATGGCGCAGCAGACCTCTCCTGTCTCCCGCGGCTCCCCTCAGCTGTGTTTCAGTCCATCTGCCTGTTCTGCTCCCCACTCTGTTTCTGGTGAGCCCTCTCACCCCTCTACCTCTGGCCTGTACCCAATTCTTGTGTGCATAAATAAAGAAATCTTAAAAAAAAAAAAAGCTGGAAAACAGGGTGCTTTCCATTTGCCCTCAGGCTCACTCTTCCCAGGAAGCCTTTGCCAGATGAGAAAACTGCGTGACAGCAAGGGGCTCGCCACCACCTATCAGCCCCTGGACTTGAGCCTTGGTCTTCTGACCCTAAGCACAGCACTGTTTCCTCGGGGCTCTCACAGTTTGACTTTTAAGGCGGGACAGTTACGTAGAACAAGCGAGCAAGAGCCTGCAGGGTCTGAGAAGGAAGCAGAGCATTTCTGGTGGGCTCAGTTAGCTGGCAGGGCAGAGTGAGGCTTCTGGGCCGGCTTAGAGAAGTGGGATGAGAGGAAGCATTCGAGGGAGAGACACACGATGGAGATGCTTGCTGGAGTCTGCTGGAGTCGTGACCTTGACGGTGAGCTTTCAGACCAGGGCCCCCAGATGGGCAGAGCCAGGCCCCGAGCAGCCATGCGCCCCCCTGTGGCCTGGGGGCCGTTCAACTGGAGGGCTCCCACTGTAACTTCTCTCATGCGGCTCACATTTGGGGAAAGTGGGGTGCAACAGATTGCGTTGTTCAGATGACAAAGGCGTGTCTTGTTTAACAATGCCCTGTGTGCAGTGACCAGTGTTGCCTGAGGCACCTCATTCTGTCCCTGTCCCTGCAGCCCGGAGTCCTCGGGTACTTCGAGTTCAGCGGCTCCCCACAGCCCCCCGGCTACCTGACTTTCTTCACCTCTGCGTTGCACTCACTCAAGAAAGGTAAGTGCTTCGTGGGAAGGCAGCAGTGTTTCCACAGATGTCCTGCCACCTCCCTCTGGGGGGGTTATCCTGGTCGATCTGTATCTTAACGCCCTTAATTCTGTTTCTCGATGTGCACATCATAAAGTTACATTGTTTTCTGTTCTATTGGCAAGCAGAAAGCACTGCAGTTTCCAGTGTGGTCTCTGAGGTATAGCAGTACATAGTTTGTTCTTTAAGGTGTGTGAGGACCCTTCTCTGTGCTCATGCAGTTGTGTGAGCCAGGGTCCCATGGCTGCCTGTGCGGGTGGGTCTGCCATCGTGGGAGTCCGTTTCCCTCAGGATGCGTTATATAAGCCACGTCATACTACCCGTCAGCCTGCTGCCAGCCTCGCTGTTCTCAAATCCATCCTTTTTACTTAGCTGAAGCCTATGTTCGGGGTCCTGCCTACTTTCCACGTCCTGTGCCCCTTTCCGTGGCTGGTCACTGCCTGTTAGCCCCATGTTAGCTGCTCTTTTGTCTGTTCGCTTGTCTCCATCTCCTTTGGCCGAGGCCCCTTCCTGTCCCTGGCCAGACCAGCAAGCACTTAGCTGGTTGCTGTTGGCTCTTCTTTACACTAGACCTTGGCCCATGCTGGGCCTGCCTGGAAGGTGACCCCATCTCCCCAGCCCCTAGGCCTCAGCTTGCACTGAGGTCCTTCCGGGATCAGCTCAGCTAGCACTGCCCGGCCCCAGCCCAGGCCTGGCCCCGTCTCTGTCTCTGCCTTGGCGCCGTGCTGGTCTTCTTGTGATTCCAGCTGTGTCTCATAAATCCTGTTTCAAGAACTGAGATTCATTCTAATTAGTCATTTTTCACCCATTTTTGTGGGTAAGCTTCCACTTAAGCTTATTGAACCACTTTAGAAGAACAGACAGATCTGGAATGATGATTTTTCCATAATATGCATGAGGAAGTCTTGCCTAAAATATCCCTTGCCTTGGGCATTTGGGGTTTTAAACCCTGTTCTTTCTCCTACCCAGATTCAAATAGTATTTACGTGCTATGAACAGCATGTGTTTGGGAAGAGAAACGCGTGCTCACTTGTTTCAGTCGCACAGTTGCAAATGTAAACTCTGCAGCAGTGTGTTTAGATTGTGTGTGCACGTGCAGGCCCGAGACCCCTGATGCGTCGCAGTGGCAGTAGAGAGCTGAAGTAGAGAAGGATTTAGAGTTTAGGGGTGGAGGGAAAGCAGACCTGGCGGCTGGGCCACACTGCATTGACAGAGTGGACAGCTCTCCACAGACTTAATGATTCTTAAAAATTGGCCTTAGCGGGAGATGCAAATTAAAACTACA